CTGCCATATCACCAACCAGTTCATCAATAGTAGAATTGCCGATCACTTTCCAACGCACAGCCCGTCCATCAACAATATCACTACCAGTCGAGTGCGAATTGACGAACTCCACGGATACATCATTCACATCACGCATACCCATCAAAATCTGAATGCGAGCCCACAAATCTGCATCAGCACCCCGAGGATCCAAGTACTTGCATTGGGCCCAACCCTTAGCTACATTCTCACAATCTGTGATATAATGAATGGGCCCATCACTGGCCCAGATGGCGAGCCACAGGGACCTCAACTCTCCTCTGGCCACCGACTGCTTCAATCCTGGCAGACCGCCGACGATGTGAGCACCCACAGCTGGCGGATCATAACTAGACATCACAACAACCCCCATGGCCACCCTGCGCAACCGTGGATCAGCTGTATCTGGACCTCCGCTTGCATCCCCGAAAATGATTGTGGGATGCTCTGCCGTGCCTCGAGGAAGACAGCCAGGCCCCACATCAACGATCCCACTGTACTGCCAATCGTCGGTCAACTGCGGGTCAGGGGTTCGCGTCCACGGTGCTGGGATCAAACCTCTGAGCCAGAAACATGCCGCTGCCTCATGCTGAGATTGGGCAGAGGAAAATAACGTGTCGCTAGCTTCATATATAGGCGAATCCTTATTACAACTGCAAGCCCAAGACCGATGAAACGACGTCTCCACCTCACTCTTACAACGAAGACATGTCATGAAATCCTGCAGCTCCGATTCGCTCTTGCCACGATGCTCAGCAAGAGTTCCCTTGCGACTCCGAGGCCATGCGCCTCCGACAGCAATGGAAAGTAGTAGCCCTGCCAATCTCGCTCCTCCTGCTTGAATGGTGCCCAGTTGTTCTAAGAGACGTCTCAAGGACCATGTATCGATACCATCTTGGATGCCCTCTCCATCGAAGTGCTGAGCCGCCTGTGACCAGTGAGGTAACATAGCAGCTACACGCACATCGGCCAAGAAATCATCAAAATTGTCCAAAGCTTTCACACCTGAAAATCCGTCGGCTGGGAAGCGCCAATCGTGGTCCGAGGTAGGTAAAACCCAGTCAGTAGGGCCACGTGGCACCCAGCCAAATGACAACATATAAGTGATGATCGCCGACAGTGGTCCACGTACATGCCGAGAACGCTGAGCTGCTGGTACTCCTTGTAACTTGTCGACGACCTTGGCCCATGCACGCTCCACCGATGATCTGATCTCAGGATGATCCCGCCACTGCTGGAGCCACATGGCGAAAGTACCGTGCGCAAACTTCTGGGCGGGGTCATACTCGGGGGACCTAATAGCCAGCAATGACGTCAGACACCTACCCTTGGTACGTACCTGACAAGAAGCACCGAGCCTCCGCCGATGTTGGAGAAGATACTGGCCGAACGCCCCGTGCAGCTGGTAACCGTAACTGCCTACTGCTTGTCCTCCCTGCTTCTCCAAACGTGATGATATCTTGACTCTGCGCATGGCGACGGTGTACCTGCGCACCTGCTTGTGTCGAGCCACGTGCTTGACAACTCGCTTCACTCTCTGCTCTCTCGCATGCCGTCGTCCAGCACCAAGATCAGCACCTAGATATACACAACTGCGTAGGGAGGGGGGGGGGGGGGGAGATGGGGGGGAGGAGGGAGGGAGGGGGGAGGGGGGAGGGGAGGGTGAGGGAGGGGGGGAGGGAGGGAGGGAGGGAGGAGGCGGTGGAGGGAGGGGGGGGGGGAGGGAGGGAGGGGGGGGGAGGGGAAGGGGGGGAGGCGAGGGGGGGAGGGAGGAGGAGGGGGAGAGGAGGGAGGGGAAGGAGGCGAGGGATGGGAGGGAGGGAGGGAGGGGACGGAGGGAGGTAGTGAGGGAGGGGGGACAGGGAGGGGGGGGAGGGAGGGAGGAGAGGGATGGGAGGGTGGGAGGAGAGGGGGGAGGGGGGGAGGGAGGGGGGGGTGGGGGAGGGTAGGGGGAGGGAGGAGGGAGGGAGGGGAGGGAGGGAGGGGAGGGGGGGAGGGAGGGAGGGGGGAGGAGGGAGGGCGGGACGGGAGGGGAGGGAGGGCGGGAGGGAGGGAGGGAGGGAGGGAGGGAGGGAGGAGGGAGGAGGGAGGGAGGGAGGGAGGGAGGGAGGGCAGGGAGGGAGGGAGGGGGGGAGGGGGGGAGTGGAGGAGGGAGGGAGGGAGGGAGGGGTGGAGGATGGAGGGGTTGGGCAGGGAGGGAGGGAGGGAGGGAAGGGGAGCGAGGGAGGGGGGAGGAGGGAGGGAGGGAGGGAGGGAGGGGGGAGTGAGCGGAGGAGGGAGGGAGGAGGAGAGGCGGAGGAAGGAGGAGGAAGGAGGAGGTAGAGGAAAATGGAGGAAGTGGCTATGAGGAATATAATTGGTGGAGGAGGACAAGGGACGAGAACGAGGAGGAGGGAGGAGGAGGAAGGAGGCAGGAGAAGGGGAGGAAGAGGGAGGAGGAGGAGGAGGCCGAGGGCCGAGGCCGACGGCCGGCCCCAGGACGGAGGAGGGAGCCGCTGCCGCTCAGGACAACGCCGAGGGCGACGCGGGACCGGAAGTGGCCGAGCAGGCCGAGGCGGCAGAGGCGGCAGAAGAGGAGGAGGAGGACGAGGAGGAGCAGCAGCAGCAAGGAGGAGCAGCAGCAGCAAGGAGGAGGAAAAGGATGAGGAGGAGGAGGGGGAGGAGGAGGAGGAGGAGGAGGAGGAGGAGGAGGAGGAGGAGGAGGAGGAGGCGGAGGAGGAGGAGGAGAAGGAGGAGGAGGAGGAGGAAGAGGAGAAGCGAGGAGTAGAAGCGAGGAGAAGAAGCGAGGAGGAGTGAGGAGCGAGCAGCGCCGGGGGCAGGACACCTCGCGGCGCTGCCCGGAGTGCGGCGGGCCTCCCGCGCCGATGGAGCCCACCGTGCCCGACGTGCTGCTCGGGCCGTGGTTCACGCTGCTGGCGCCTAAACCGCGGGCGTTTTCCTTCGCGCCGAAGCGCCAGCGCCGTCAGCCAGCGCCTGCGCCAAGCTGTCGCCCCTCCCCAAAACACGCTCGCGCTGGGAGGAAGTCGCGACGATGGGTTGTGGGCCGGATTTCGGCCCCTGAGTTCACTCGCCGGGCCCAAGGGTCGTCAGAAAGCGGCTCGGGATGAAGAACCGGTCCCAGGGACGCTCGGGTTTTTTCCATCTATGGTGCGCTAAGCACGCGATGGCGTCGAAGGCAGGTCCCTGATGGCGCACTGCTGAGAATACATTGTTTCGTATTGTTGCATTCGTGGCGCCATCGTCCGCATCTGCGTCGAATCGAACGCGTTTCTCATACAGGGAAACGGGCCAGACATCTGGGGGGTCCACGTTCTGCGAAAATCACGACGTCGGGGGCTCGCGTTTCCCCATCCCCCTTCTCCCCCTCCCTGTGTCCCTCTTCCCGTTCCTGCTCCTGCTATTCCCAGGAGGGGAACATAGATACAGGCACCAACAAGCGTCGGTTCCCAGGAACACATGGCAAGCGGAGGGGACGAGGACAGTCCAGAAAATATGGCAACTGTTATCCGGGACGTATCCAACCCTTTTCTCCACGTGCGGCGGCTATCAAAAGAATCCCTCTTGCCAAAAGCAAAGTGAGAGTTCTGCAGCACTCTTGCCCGCGAAAGTACTGACATTTCTGCAGTTGGCAGTCTCGCTGGGGGCCGCGAGGTCTCCTCTAGGTTTGCGTGCAACTCCACTCCGCCGTGCCTATCGCAGGCCGACGAACATGGGTACAGTTGCGCAGCTGGCCGCCTCGCGTAGGAAGCCGCAGTGCCTCGTCTGGATGCGTGTGCGACACCACTCCGCTGGGCTTCCCCTGGGCTCACAAGAGTGGTGAGAGTTGCGCAGTTGACAACCTCCAGAGGGCCGAGCACGGGCAAGGGCACTTGCGAGCAGGAAAGGGCTCTAGCGAGCAGTGGGAGCGCGCGTGGACATCAGGAGCAGGAGCGGGCATGGGAGCAGGAACTTCTTCTCAGCGACACAACATGGCGCGTATCAAGACCCCGCTGGAATCCTGCTCTAAGATCCCCCTGCGACCACACGGCAAGATGTGAGGATGACGTGCATCCTTCCCCCGATTCGTCCACGCAAGGTGATTTTTGAGTCTCGCTCGCTATGTGTGACGCCCAGCTCGCTGACTTCAATCGGTGTCCGGGTTCGGCGCGTGCCTGGCGCCGCACTTACGGACGCGCATCGGTTCCCACTCACCGCGGGTGTGCCAGACGCTTACTGCACCGCGGGTCCGATGGGCCGCCGGTGTGCGCTGCCTTCCCCTCGTTCGCGCACGCAAACAGATGTTTACGACACGATACGATACGATACGATACGGCTCGCGTCCCGGCCCGCTTCGGGGCGGTCCTTTGGGAGAGGGCGAGGGCATGGGAGCGCACTCCCGCATGAAAGGAAGCGGATTCTATAGAATGTGTATCGGGTGAATCAATAAGGAGAAGGGGAGAAGAGAGCGAGCACATTCGAACAACAAATAGATGACCTATCGCTGCGCGTAACGCCCCGAAGCATTTCTGGCCACTTGGATCGCTTGCGCGACGAAGCACAAGTTGATGATAATGTTTCTGCGGGTCCGGAGGGCTAGAGCTGCGGCGCCAGCCTTATTTCGACGTGCTTGTCCACATCTCCCCCCGTTTCATGTGTTCGTCTTCTCCATCCTGGTGATAACAAACTCTCTACGGGTCCGATGGACTACCCTTGCGAAACGCAGTCCCCTGATTAGCTCACGCAAACAGATGTTTGAGTTTATTAGTTTGCTGCGCGTGACGCCCCGAAACTTTTTCCGAACACCTGAATCGCTTGCACGAGATGGTGGAAACACATGCTAATGCTTCTGTTTTCGCGGGTCCGGCGGACCACCGTTGCGGCTTGCTGAGTATCGGCCTTTTTCCCCACATGTTGTCCACATCGTCCTCCCCCATCATCGTTTCTCGTCCTCCTCATCCTAGTGATGACGATGTTCTGCGGCGAGCCCGGGGGGAAGGGAGAGGGGGCGGGCCTTCTCAGAAGGCTTGGAAGTCTCCGGGCCTGAGAAGTTTCCTACGTAAGCCTTCCCCGAAGTCTAAAATCTCAGAAGGCGCGAGGGCTTCTGAAAAGTCCCGCCGCCTTCTGCGAAGGCGTTGTCCTTCTCACGTCACCCCCTCGCTCGCCGCCGAAATCTGCCTGCGGGTCCGATGGACCACCGCTGCGAGACGCCTTCCCGACGACGACGACGCCGACGCCGACGCCGACGCCGACGACGACGACGACGACGACGACGACGACGACGACGACGACGACGAGCCACGACAATTTATGTTTGAGTTTTGAGTCTCGTCTGCTGTGCGTGACGCCCCGCTCGCTGACTCAGATCTGGCTCCGATGCACCACTGTCGATCACGCGCAGAAGGGGGGTATGGAGGAGGGGGGAAGGCTTCTTATAGCACCCGTGATTCTTAGAAGGCGCGCGCCTTCCTTGTAGATGTAAGGCCGGCGCCTTCTAAGAAGCGGTCTCCTTCTGAGAAGCCGTCCCCCCTCCCCCTGCCCCCCTCTGCGCGCCGCCAACACAGGGCGACCGTCTCGCCGCTCGCAGGCCCAGGAACGGCGAGGTCCCGACTTGGCGCGCTGTGGACATGTGGCTTGGCACCGTGTCGTTACCACGCGGACGTGGGACTACTTCCAGAACGCGTCCCTTCGGTACATAGTCCGCCGTCCCTCCTCGGCCCCCTCTTCCTCCTCCCATGCAATGTCCCACAGTGATTCACACGCGTGCGCTTCAGCAGGCGCCTCGGCGCCCCCTCCGCCGCGCCCTCACGGCGCCACGCGTGCGTAGCCGTAGAGCCGTAGCCGTAGCTGTAGCCGTGACGTGACGCAGTTGGACCTCTCCAGGAGCCCACGAACTGAGCCACAGTTTGCAGGCCGCAGCCCCCCAGGGCCGCAGAGGTTCTCCTGTTGTGCGCAGGACGTCAATATGCTGGACCTCCCGGCAGCCCTCGAAACAAGCGACAGTTTCGCAGTTCGCAGCCCTCCAGGGCCAGCGAGGCCTCACTCTGATGTGCGTAGGACGCCACTATGCTGGGCACCTCAGCAGCTCTCGGAGGAAGCGTCAGTTTCGCAGTTCGCAGCCCCCCAGGGCCAGCGAGGCCTCACTCTGATGTTCATAGGACGTCGCCATGCCAGGCCCCCCAGCGGCCTTCGGAGGTGGCGACAGTTGCCCAGTTCGCAGCCCCCCAGGGACGGCGAGGTTTAATTCTGATGCGCGTAGAATGTCACTGTGCTGGCCCTCCCGCTGAACCACGGAGGTGGCGACAGTTTTGCAGTTCGCAGCCCCCCAGGGCCGGCTAGGTTTGATTATGATGTGCGTAGGACGTCACTATGCTGGACCCCTTGGGAGCCAACGAAAGTGACGACAGCTGCGCAAATCGCAGCCACCAAGGGAGCAGCGGAAGAGGAGGCAGGAAGGTAGGGTAAGGCAAGCCCCGAGGGGAAGAGTCCCGCAGGACTAAACAGGAGGCGCCGCGAGGTGGCGCTTAGGACCACACGGGAGTCCGCCACTTACGCCACCCGCGTGCCTGTTTTTGGGCTCCTGCGGGGTGGCGCATTGGACCTCACGGGGATCCACCACTTACGCCACCCGCAGGATACCCAGACATCGGACGAGCGGCAACGGGCCAGCCAGCACCTAGCACACTGATCGCTGGCGAGGGGCCGACCGACGGCCTCGAGACGGAGAGGAGGCCCTGGTCGACCATCTTGTGGATCACCGCCTGCGCCGCACGCTCGCACTCCGCGATCTGGGCCTCAGTCTCGATGATGTCCTCGATCTGCTCAAGGTGCCAGACGATGAGGTCACCCTCGTGGACCTCGTCGCCAACACCCTGCTGCTGCACCAGGAACTGCATGAGCGCCTGGCCAATCGGATCGAGTACCACACGATCGTCACCACAGTGGATTCCAGGCTCATCAGCAGGCTCACCCTCGGAGACGAGGGCAACGCGATCGGCATCATCATGAGCAGCTCCGCCAAGCTCATCAGCACGCCCACCATCGGAGGCCACGTTGCTGACGTCGCCGGGAGCATGCGCGTCCTCGGCCACCACGCCGAGGTCGCCAGGCATGCTCTTCACCTCGGCGGGCTGCATGTCGACCTTGACAGCAGCGTCATCGAACTGGGCCACCATGTCGGCCTTGACCGCGCCCACCAGCTCTACGAACGTGTCCCTCACGATCGCACCAGCCTCCGAAGCCACACCACACACGGCTCCGGCTTGAGAGGCAGCAGGGACATCGCGACCACAAACATCAGGAAGAACAACGTAATCGAGAGGTAGGAGGCCCCCACGCTGAGCCACATCGCCAATGACGTTTCCCGCACAGCAAGAGAAAGCCACCGTGCCGAAGGTGCACAGTAATCCGCAGAGCGCGTGCTTGACCACCTCCATCGGCACGAAGACGGGGGCCCCCACATTCCACCGCATCCCAGCACGACCGCGTCGTCTTTCAGCTCCGCGCCAGCCCCCAGACGGGCTTTACGCTGCGCAGACTCGAGCGCGCCAGGGCCAGCCGTGGCGACGTCCACGCCCTCCGCGAGCGCGTGGAGGGCGACATTCCTGCGCAGTCGGTCGAGGTCGCCAGGCGTGCGCCCAGCCAGCAGCGCAGCAAGCGCAGGGGCGCACGCCGCCTGGCCGTGAGCCGGCCACGGGCTCAACGAGCAGCGCCTCGATCTGGTCGTTGAAGAGCTTGGCCCTGTCGAGCGCGGCGCCCAGCTCGCTGCGAAGCCTCTTCAAGAGGTTCCAGCCGAGACGGCAGCGCGCGCCCGCCGCGGTCGCCTGGCGGCAGAACTGCCGACGTCCGATCGCCACACATATTCGGGGCGGATCCCGCGGCCACAATGCCCGCGACGGCCACCTCGCGGGGGGGGCCGAGCTAGGCATGAGCCAAAATGGCTACGGAGGAAGAGGCAGGCGGAGGAGGGAGGCGGGAGAGGAGGAGTTGGGGACCACGGTGCTCTATTCAAAACGAAAGCCCAACGCAGGAGGGTCAGGAAAAAATATAGAGAGAATCCTGGAACGTGTGTATACTTGTTTGTGTCTCCATGGGCTCTGTTGTATCTTCGTTGCCCTCAGAGGGCGAATGAAGGCAACGGTAGTTGGCCCGCGGGGGGTCCCTCGTCGACATGGCTGGACGCAGTTTGGATAGCTGGTGCGTTTGGACCCCTGGACGAGTCCGGGGACCGATTTCGAGCTGCCGTTGTCCCATTTCGCCCTCCACCGAGTTCTGTTGCTGCCGCTGTTGCTCCATCTCCTTCTCTTCCTCCCCCCTCCTCCACTTTAGCTCCTCCTGCCCTCCGCATCCTCCCTCGACTCCCCCGGCAACGTTTGCCCTGGGACACCAAGTGTATTATTGTTGCCTTGTGTGTACATGTATATTTGGCCTGCTTAGATGGCCCTGGGTCGGTAAGTAGCCGTTGGGACCGTATAGGGTTATCCGCAGCCCTTGCTCCTTCGCCTCGTCCTCCATATTGCTCCTCCTCCCCTCGTCCTCCTCGTCAGGATTCGCCCGCATTTGCGGGCCGAATTTCGCTACTACATTTTCGTTGCGCGCTGACGCGCCGAGGAAATGCTACGTAAGACCAGTTTGTTTCCCCCGAGCTTGAGCCGCGGAACAAAACCGGTTGTTTCTTTGGGAACCGCCCCGGAGTGTGGAAAAGGAGATGGCCCTGGGCCAGTGATGCCGTTCCACGTGCCGCAGTCATGATGAGCGCTTGCGTCCACCGTGTTCCCGGGGGTGGTGGCAACACGAAGCTCGGCCTGCTCGGGGGCCAAGTTGCCGCAAGGCCATCTCACCACAAGTCCCCATCCTCCGCCTCCCCCTCCCCCTGCCCAGCGCGGTGGTTCAGAACGTCCCCTTCCCTCCTGCGAGCGAGCGTCTCGTCGCGTGCAGCGCGCACCCTCTCGCACGGGGCGGCAGGCCGGGGATCGTGCCGCAAGGAGGATGGCCCCAGGGCTGCGCAAGCAGCCACCTCCCAGCGCGGCGCCAAAGCCAGGCGGTCGTCATGCTGGCGGCAGCCATCTTCGCGTCGCTCGCGCTGGTCTCGGTGGAGATGAAGTGGGGCCGAGGGGGGGGGTACACATGCCCTGCCCTCCCTCCTGCCGTCGCCCCCCCCTGCCCCCCCGGCACATCCTACCTTCATCACTGTTCCCTATTGATCTACACCCCCCCTCCCCAAGGCGACCAGCGGCCAGCCAGGAACCATGAGGACCCCCCCCATCCTTGCCAAAAAACAATGCAAAATGCACTCTGCCTTTACATTTGGAGCATGCGCGGCCAACCCGATGCGGGCCCCCCCCCAACACCATCCCTGACAAAAAACAAAACGAATTACACATGTGGGGAAAGTCTTGAATCATGTTCGTGCGGCCCGCGAGCACTTTGCATTGTTTTTGACAGGGACGGCGGGGGTGTCAGCATATTGCCTGCGGTGCGCACGGCTACCATTCCTGACAAATAAAGAGACTATGCACAATGCACCTCGCGGCTAAATCTGGATCATGCGTGGCCTCCGCGCGATCACTGCCAAGTGTTTCTTTACAGGGACGGCAGGGGGGGCAGGCCCACCAGAGACAATGATGGGCATTGGTTTTCGACAAAGAATGGTGAGGCCGACATGTTTCCCGATGTGTGCTGTCACGTGCGCAGGCGCACTTGACACGCCCCGCCCGTGCCCCGAACGTGGCGCACCTGGCGTGGCTGGAATAGACGGCATAGCTGCCGCACGCGGAGCACGAGGCGCATCTGGCGCGCCAGACGTGCTTGTCAGTTGCTCTTGGCAGTGGAAATCTCAACGCAGCAGTGGTTGCACAGAAGCATGACGTTACCGAAGGAGCTGGCCAAACCTGTGAAGCCAAGAAGCCAGCGGACCCCACCAGCAAAACGCCCCTGAAGCGCGATCAGGAAAGGGAGAGGAGGACGTCTGCCTTTTGAGTCGCACCTCCAGGCGGCCTTCGAGGAACAGCGCACGCTTGAGGAGGTTTCGCAGGACCTGGAGGCAAAGCCCTTCTGCATAACCGACGAGACGCGGAAATAGATGCTCGCGCCCCCATGAGGGCCAGCCTCGCGCTCGCCTCGGCTCCAATCCTGGAGCGGCCACGTCATCATCGTAGACGGAAGGCAGGCCGCAGCAGTGCAGGCGGCTCCCAGAATGTATGCGGAATGGGCATCGCGATTGGAGGATTTGGCCATCATCACTGACAGCATCCCAAAGCACGAAGCAGACAAGAACCGAGGCCGTCGGGCGGGCCTGGAGGTGCGATGGACGCGCGGCAGATCGATCCCACGACGCATCCGCGCGAATTACGGCCCAGCGGAGCAGCGAGGCATCCTCCGCGCGGCCATGGTCCTCTCGCTGGCCCCCCCGGGCCAACAGGGCGGACGCGGGGCAGCAGCGCTTATGCATGTCGACGACGTCCAGGCAGAAAGGGGCGACGATCGCGCTGGACCAGGGCCAGATCATCAGCAAGAGGCAGGGCGCCGCACAAAGGGGCAATTGCTACGAGATGCTCGGTGACATGGCAGACCTTGACGTGGGCCTGCTGACCAGGCTAGTGGAGCCCGCGGAGGGTCACGCCACGTCAGCGAAGATCAGAGGCATCACCGTTCAGCGGAGGACGTTCACCTCGCGACGGGCGCAGCCTCGCGCTGTAGATCGGCACGATGCGGCGCTAGGCAGAGGGCGAGGGCGCGGAGCAGCTCGCGCTGGAGCTGCCCGATGGGGCCATCGCGGCGCTGGCGGCGCCGAAGGCCAAGGATGTCGACCACCCGGGGCCCCGCGACCGCAGCCGCGTGCGCCGAGAGGCGCGCCGGCGGCTGGCCTGCTTCCTGCAGCACTGCGAGAAGGAGGTCATGCGGCCGCGGCAGGGCGCGGCCACGAAGCGGCGCTCGCGGCCGAGCAGATGGGAGGAGACCGAGTCTTGGGCACGTTGCCCCTGCAGGTGGAACTCTGGCCCCGGGCCAGAGGTGGCTGCTGCGCGCTTAGAAGCGAGAGCCTCTCAGCGCGCTGTGGCGCGGCGCTGAGAGGCAGCACTGCCCTGTGAGGTGGGCTCCTTCGCGTCTGCCTGGACGAGGTGGGCGCGGAGCTCGGCTTGTCGACCATGGCGCCCATCCATGACGTCGAGAATTTCCATTGCACGGTATCGTTCGCCATACCGGTGCAAATCGCGGTCTCGGCAGGATGTCCGTCGGCGGGAGCGGCGCTCATCGGCGAGCTGGCCTGGGTCGCGAGGTCTCTCGCGGCGTGGTAAGCCAGGGAATCGGGCTGGCCAATCCCCACTTGCACCCCGTCCTGGAGCGAGCGCACCTCACCATGGACGCGCGTGGACGACGCGGCGGCAAGGTCGGGAGGCAGTCCAGCAGGAGTAGGCGAGCGCATCGCGAAATCACAGGAGACTTACTCGACGGGCTGCGGGGCCAGCGCACGACGGCGTCGGTCAGCAAGTCCGCGTTGGTCGGCACGCGCCCCCACTGCGTCAAGACGGAAGCCTGCGCCTTCACCAAGAAGGGCAACCCTGTCCTGGCAGGCGCAGAAACGGCGGGCCAGTGCGCCGACGCGGGCGCCGGCTGATAGAGGACCACCACGAAGGCCGAGCAGTGCCGCCGGAAGGCCAATATGAGGTTCCGCCCACGCAGGGCCGCGGCGCTGGCCAGAGAATGCAACGGTTCATGGATTGCGGGCGCTGTTCCTCAGTCTGCGCATGGGCGCCGAGCCTTCGGAATAGCGCTGCGCGAACAACAGCGAATGCGACGCGCTGCTGGCCAAGTGGCTGGAGGCCAGGCGAGAGGACGATGCCCGGCTACCACGCCGGCTGTCGGGTTGTTGCGAGGTGGCCCAACCATTGCGGCACAGGTTGTACTCGCGGCAGATTTGATCAATTCGCGGCAGCGCTGCCATGGATCCACCCCGGAGTTGCCAGAGCTCGGTCGCTCACGCACACAAGGCTCAGCAGGCTGGGCGCGCCGCGATGGCGCGGAGTTCGGGGACCTGCGGGGGCTGCCATGGCGACGCTCATGGACGCCGGCTGTCACGCACCGTCGGCCGCGACGCGGGCGCGACCCATGGCAGACGAGAAGGCCTGCAAGCAGTGAGACGCCCAGTCGTAGCTGCGCGGCGGCTTCGACCCCACTGGGCCCCACCAGCCGTTGCTCGCGGACATCGAGGCGGACTTCAGAGGTCACCTGCGGGCATGCGCGTCGCGGCGCCACTCCGGCGAGGGCCTGCAAACTGGCGGCGGCGCGTAACAGATACGCGCAGAGCAATGGAGATTCGCGCAGGGATGCGTGCCCGACATGGTCGGCCTCGACCTGGCGGCGATCGCGGGCGGCCAGTGGCCGAAGGCCAGAGCAGCGCAGCAAGGGTGCCAGTTGGACGGCATGCTGCGCGACAGATGCGGGCAGCGCGAGGAGTCGCCCACGCGCCGCACCTGGACGCGTCCGCTGAACAGAGGGCATGCCGGTTTCGAAGACAGACGCGCACCTGTCGGCCGCCACAGCGCAGGCCGAGTCCGAGCCAGCACTGTGGCTGCGCGGCTCGCCCCCAGCCTCTCTCACGCACCCTCGCTAGAATGGCGGGTTGGACGGGGGGGGCGGTTCGGTAAGTTGGGGGCGGGTGTGCGGGAGGAGCGCGCGATGCGCGGCCACCGTCTTCACGTCTTCGGAGACGGCTCAGCAGGTCGACTCTCGCCAGACCCCTGAAACCGCCGATGTGGAGCCAACGTTGCAGCGATCCAAATGAGCGGCGAGGAGGGGGCCTTGGTTGTTGGCCTAGCCAGGCCGCTGCTGGGCGCCACGCAAACAGCCCCTCGCTCTGAAGTTATGTTTTCTACCCTTGCACTCGAGGAGCGCCCGGGATCTTTCACACTTGTCGCGGACCATCGCGCATTCGCGAGTGCTACGAGTCACGTCTGGCCACCCCTAAAGGCAGCTTTCACTGCGGACCTGCGGCCCAGAGCCAGAGCCGCTTGGAACTGGCGCCCATGCAAGGACATAGAGGTTGACTGGGCCCCGCCCCATCTGGCCAGGAGCCCCGAGGCGCTTGCAACTGAGCAGCAGACGTTCTCTGCCGCGGGGAACCTCGCCGCTGACTTGCGAGCGGGGAGGGGGGGGGGATCTGGCGCCCCAGTTCAGGCCAGCTGCGCGCGCGTGTGCAAGCGTGCAAGCGCGCAAGCGTGCGTTCGTGCGTGCGCGCGTGCGCGCGCGTGCGCGCGTGCTTGCGCGTGTGTATGTGCGTGTGCGTGCGCGTGTGCGTGTGCGTGCGCGTGTGCGTGTGCGTGTGTGTGTGTGTCTGTGCGCGTGTGCGAGCGTGCGTGTGCGTGTGCGTGCGTGCGTGCGTGCGCGTGCGCGTGCAGGTGCGCGTGCGTGTTCGCGTGTGCGCGTGCGTGTGCGTGTGCACGTGTGCGCGTTTGCGCGTGTGCGCGCGTGCGCGTGTGCGTGTGTGTGCGCGCGTGCGCGTGTGCGCGTGTGCGTGTGTGCGCGCGTGCGTGCGCGTGTGCGCGTGTGTGCGTTTGCGTGAGTGCGTTTGCGCGTGTGTGCGTGTGTACGTGTGTGCGTGTGTGCGTGTGTGCGCGCGTGCGTGCGTGCGCGTGTGCGTGCGCGCGTTACACGCGTGCGTGCGTGCGTGCGTGCGTGCGTGCGTGCGTGCGTGCGCGCGCCGCGTGCTTGCGTGCGTGCGTGCGTGCGTGCGTGCGTGCGTGCGTGCGTGCGTGCGTGCGTGCGTGCATGCGCGCGCGCGTGCGTGCGTGCGTGCGTGCGTGCATGCGTGCGTGCGTGCGTGTCGATGTGTCGATGTGTCGGTGTGTCGGTGTGTCGGTGCGTCGGTGTGTGGATGTGTCGATGTGTCGGTGTGTCGGTGTGTCGGTGTGTGTGTGTGTGCGTGCGTGCGTGCATGCGTGCGTGTGTGCGTGCGTCTGTGCGTCTGAACTTGCGTGCGTGCGTACGTGCGTGCGTCTGTGCGTGCGTGCGTGCGTGCGTGCGTACGTGCGTGCGTGCGTATGTGTGTGTGTGTGTGCGTGCGTGCATTTGTGTGTGTGGTGGGGGGGGGCAGCGGGGTAGACGCTGATCAGAATTAGGCGATTGCTCACGTGGTGCGCCGACGCGCGCGCAGAGCCCTGGCGTCGTCGGCCAAGCAGCCGCACGCAGCCGCCCCCCATCACAGAAAGAGATCGAGCAGGTAGGCAGCAGGTGGCGATGCTGTCGAAGCGAGCGCATTGTTCCCAGTACGAGGTGGATTCGGCTTCAAAGTGCACGGGCCCCCTGGGATGCGAGATTCTTGGACCCCCTGAGATGTTCCTTGCGTCTGGTCTGGAGCATGAGGTCCACCCCGCCCGCTCCTCGAACGTACGCAGACAGCTGGTTTTTGCGGGCGTGCTCCCCGTGCGGGACGTGTGCCACGGTGGGCCCTCGCGTCCTGCGCAGACGCTGCGCAGGCATGACCCTCCCCCTCCCCCTCCCCTTCCCCCTTCTCCTCCTCCTCCTCCTCCTCCTTTTCTCCTCCTCCTCCTCCTCCTCCTCCTCCTCCTCCTCCCCCTCCTTCCTCCCCCCTCCCTATCCTCCCCCTCCCTATCCTTCCCCCCCCCTGCCGAGGGTGAGGTCGGGGGGGGGGCGAGTGTGAGCTTGGGCCCGGGGGCGAGAGGGCCCCCGCCGAGCCTTCTGTCGCACCCCCCGAGGTCGCCCGAGCCTGCCATGACGGGTAAGAGCGGGATCAGCTGCGCAGGCTTGCCAAGGAAATTCGCACGCAGGCGAAGGTCCAGAGATTCCTCGCCGCGGCCAGGGGGAGTCTCAGCAGCTCAGGCCTTGGGTGGCTCGGGAGGGGAATCCAGACTCTTCCGATTGACGGCACCAGTGCGCGCCTGCCCCTCGCCGTCCTGCCTGGCGCAGTGCATTCGCCGCGCCTGGACCCAGAGGGTGAGGCGGCGTCTAGCTGATGTCAGCGCCCTGCTCGACGACTGCTCGGCCCTGCCCAGAAGCCGAGAGGACTTCGAATCTGGTTCGCAGCAGAGCAGCGCTGCGGCAAGCACGTGTGCACGCAGCAGCCCAGGAGAGGGAAGGTGGCACGAGCGTCCTAGAGCAAAGAGTTCGAAGAGTCCTGCTCCGCCCGCCCCTTCCACTCCAGTTCCTGCTCCTGCTGTTGTCTCGCCCCAGCGCGCGCCGCTTTTCTGAATCTGGGTCTTTCTTCATCGTCGTCCCTTAGTCGCCCCCCTCATTCCCCCTCCTCCGCCTCCCCTGGTCCTCCTTTTCTTCTCTATCCTTCCGCTTTAGTTCCTGATGCTGCCGTTCGTCCTCATCCCCGTCCTCCCGCTCATCCGCCTGTTCGTCCGCCACCTCCTCCTTCTGTGCGCGCAGGTCCTCTTTGTTCCGAATGTGCATAACACGAAGTGGTCTTTCTGTGGGAGCCACAGCTCGGCTGTAGCACGTGCCCGCGGAGAATGAAAAGTCAGCGCCATGGGATGGGAGGGATGGGTAGGATGTCAGATGAGTCGCAAGCGCACCTAGCTTGTTTCCCCCCCTCGTCTTCCCCCCCCCCCCCCCGCTTGTCATGCCCTCCCCTCGCTTGGTGGGGGACAGGCCTGTCCGGCTGTACGAGGCGATATCCGCCGCCATCAGTTCGGAGGAGGAGGAGGAGCCCGCCGCCAGGGGGCGGGCGGGGGCGGGCCCAGGGCGGGGGGGGGGCGGGAGGGAAGCAGGGGGCAGCTTCAGGCAGGAGGGATCGGAGGGTCGAGGCTCGAGGAGCTGGGACATGCTGCTCCTCGGTGGTCGGCGGTGCTTCCGTCCGGGAGGCGTCCCGACGACGGCGCCCCGCCGAGAGCGTGCCCGTCCCGAGCGGCCGCCGAAGGGCAGAGAGGCCTGGCCCGGGAGCCAGCGGCAGCTTCGGGAGGGGAGGGCGGGCTCCTGGCCGACACGCATCGGCCCCCGATCGCCCACTGACCTGGCATCGCTCGGACATGTGCATTTTTTTCTCGGCGAGGACCCTTGAGGACCATCCTGGACCATCGAGGAGAAAAAAAAAGCACGCTCGAAGCCGAACAGTGCACGGGAAATGGACGTCCGAGCGACCGCCGATGGGCTTGATAGGCCACCCCGCCCAGGAGCGTGCGGATTCGGCATCGGGGGGATCTATCGCCGGCCTGTCGATGATGTGTCGCCGATTCGTGTGCGATGGTCCCCCCCCCCTCTTAGCTGGCCCTTCAGAGGGAGGAGGGGGCCACGAGGAGCTCCCATCTTCAACTTGCTCCTGTCCCCTCGTGGCCATTTCCACCCTCCGCGCCACCCTTCAGCCCGGGTCGAGCTGCGCTCCACGTGGCTCTGGCTCCTGCGCTGCATTGGACGCGGAGACGAGTGATGAGGAGATCGAGAATAACCACAGCCCATGCCACCGAGAGGCGATTCGATCGATACGTATATGTATATATATATAGAATTGCATTGCCCATCGGATGACCACGTCCCCTCTCACTTGTCCGACTCTCCCGCTCTTCAAATGATGTGCTGGAGGAAAAATCGGGCGATGGACCAGGAGGGCGCATAAACCGCTCCAGGGCCCAGGACGAGCATGGCCATGGGCAGTGGATACGTATTAGATTTCTTAGTCTTCAGAACATGAGACTAATCGCTGCCGGCCTGGACACCGCAGCGCGCGCGAGAGCACCCGCATGGGCCCCGAGTCGCCCGAGGGGCATGGTCGCGCGGGCCCACAGGGACGCGGGCGCTGCGCAGCAGAGGGCTCTGATGCTGGGCATGGTGCCGGGCGGCACGTCGCCTGAGGGGCGCAGCGCTGCGAAGCAGAGGGCCTGGGACTCGTAAGTGCACGAGCTGGATCCTTCTCTTAGCGAGCGGATGACGCAGGAGCAGGGCTGCACGCACGCCGCCGGCGGGCCAGGAGGGAATCCGCTGCTCGCCTGCAGCCTGCGGCGGCAGGAGAAGCAGGCGGCCACGCCTTGTTCGTATGACGCCGGTGCTCTGCAGCGCCACGTGCGTGAGCCCACGTCCCCTGCGGGTATCGCTCATGGGACGCTGACCGACAGCGTCGTGGCCATTCCGGTCAGACTCGGTCGGAACATGTTTCTCGGCAGCGCCTTCAGCCATTCGCCAACAGATGCCGTGCTGTTCCCAACCCTGGCTGTACTATTCGGTACGGGCGTGGCTTGACGACTGCTCTAACTGCTTCCTTGCGCGAACGCTGCATATGCTTACATGCAGCATCGCCCTGCCGTGGACGCGGCGATGCGGCGTTGCCATCGACAGCCCCATCCTATTGACTGGCTACGCTGAGCAGGTTATTTGTTTGAAATAATGTATCCGTGTTGGCTTCCACCTCAGGGAGAGATGTCTGCCAAAATTGCGACATTGGATTGCGATATCCCTCATGATTGAGGCGCGCAGCATACTCGCGAGCGGTACTTCTCCCGAGCAGTGCGGCCCCATCCGCTCACCGCTGCTGCTGGCATCAGTGACGGCAGCTCGCTTGACCAGCTGGCGAATCAGGTGTTCGTGGTATCGTTTCCCAGCCGCGGGGGCAAACGTTCGGGAGGGCCTCGCCAGAAAGGCAGGCCGGCTCGGCTTCGACCGCACAGGCTCGCAGACAACACTGGTAACGTGAGAGATGCTACGCGCAACGCTGTTACGGATGCCTGGTTTCTCTGCTCGTGTTATGGCCCGATCGTTTGTTCAATCAATCGATCGATAGCGCCGTGTTTGCACGACATATCGGTTGCGGAAGTGCCGTATGTCCTGACCAGGGCACAGCGAGTAAGGGCAGTCCAGGGAAACGGCGTCCCGGCTGGCGATTGTGTTCCACACGTGCGGGTTATAGCGTTCCTCGTCTGCGACATTGAGGCACATCGCATCCTATCACAACTCCCGCTGTTCACCATGTTGTGTCACAGGCCCTTCTGCCCCCGCATTGGTTCGGTCCCGATGGGGCGGCGCCCTGGCTCACGCCAGTGTTCGACGCTGTGCTCGCGGCGGCGCTCTCGTGCGAGCTTCACCCCCGTGTGCCAACACGAGTGCGTGTCCTCTTCCTTCTCTTCCGACCCCTCGCACGCTGGCCACATTCGCTTCTCGGTGCCCCCGTCTAGCTCTGTCGCCGGTGCAGCAAGCTCTGCCTCGCCGCCGGCGAACAGCGCGTCCTCCCTTCCTGGCCCGACGTCTGCTGCCATTTGGGCTCGGGCGCTCGGCCGAATTTTTGCACAACGGCTGGGCCCTGAGGCTGGCCCGTGGGCATGCGCCCTCGACGACGCGCCGCGGCGGATCCGAGGAGCGCGTCTCCCTCTGCGCCAGCGCTGTCGGGGGCTCGCCTCGCCCCCGCGCCCGCGCAGGACGGGAAGCAGGCGGCGAACGCAGGCAGCATCGGGACCCCCACGCGCTTGGGACATGGGGCCCGACCGCGGAGTCTTTCTGTCGGGGGCGGACAGACCTCCCACCCCGACACGTCGATTCAGGAACTGGCCGTTCTCGTTTCGCGAGGGGGCGTCGCGGCCGTCATCCTTGCGGGTCCAGGTCTGTCGGTGTCGGTCCCAGGCTGTTTTCACGAAGGGGAGGTCTGCTGAAGGGGAGGGTTGCCCACCGCCGATGATGGCGCACCCTCGGGATAGCCCTGCACTCCTTCCAGGCGGAGGAGGAGGAGGAGGAGGAGGAGGAGGAGGAGGAGGAGGGCCCCAGGGCGACTCTTCCCCGCACTGCGCGGAGCCGTGGGGGAGGCTGGGACCGAGCAGGGCCGCGGGCACGCCCATCACCAGGCACAGGCCGAAGAAGACCGCCGAGGTCAGCACGGACTACCGTCGGGGCCCTGAAAAAAGGAACCCTTTCGGTTGGGGAGGGGCTCGGTGTTCCTTGATTGTTCTGCAGTCTGCCTTCGGTGTTCCTGAGGTTTCCCATGGGCAGTCGAAGTTCAGCTTATGGGAGCAAGGAGCCTCGTTCCTCATGTGGAGTTCCTAAGGTCAACGCCCCGACTGTACGCGCAGTGGGTGGCCACCGGGTGGCCACCATGGGCCGATGAGAGCGAGGCCGCTGCCGAGGTCGCGCCCAGGGGTACGACCAGCAACTTTGGCTCAGCGAATGCGCCGCCGGTTCTGGTCCATCTGGTTCCCCGGCGTCCGCGTCCCAGTTTCACAGATGGAGGGCGGCCGGTTTTCCAAATGTGGTACTCGCCTCAGCGCCGTTCACTTTCGTCTTAAACAATCGCAAGAGCTTCACGGACTGAGGGAGGGTGGTTTTGGCAATGTGATTCTCGCTTTAGCGCCGCGCACACTCGTTTCAAACATTTGCGAGAGCTTCACAGAATGAAGGCGGATGGTTTTCAACATGTGTTTCTCACTTTAGCGAAGCGCACATTCGTTTCAAACATTTGTATGAGCTTCACGGATGGAGAGCGGGTTTTCAAAATGTGGTTCTCGCCTTAGCGCCGCGCACATTCGTTTGAAACATGTGCGAGAGTTCCACATGTTGAAGGCGGATGGTTTTCAAAAATTGGTTCTCGCTTTAGCGCCGCGCGCATTCTTTTTAAACGTTTGCAACAGTTTCACAGGGTCCCGTGAGCAGCGTACCAGAAATGGTGTTTGGGAAGGATTCAAGATTATGCGGGGGTTACAGTTGTGTTGATTCGCGGTGTTGAAGTCCCACAATGACGTTCTGGTACGGTTCCAGATCGTCAGGACGCAGCAGTCAGGTTGATCCATGGCGTGGAAATCCTGAGAACAATGTTTTGGCATGCTTCAAGGTCTTCAAACGGTTGGCTTCCAACGAGGCAGTTCCCTCAATGGAAATGAACCGTCGCAGGGGCCTACGAAGAGGGAGCTTGGAGGGGGGGGGATACTTCCAACATCGTCGAAGACTCTTGGGTTTACACTCGTCCTCCCCCTCCTCTTCCTCCTCCTCCTCCTCCTCCTCCTCCTTCTCCCTCCCCCGAGAAAGGCTGGTTCCAGGCCGACCTCCCTTTCTCTCGCCCGCGCCCCCGCTCCTCCTCAGGAGAAGACCAGGGAGCTGGCAGAGGCCGGCCAGGGCGCCTCCTCCGCGGACGCGGGGCACCCGAAGAAGAGGAGCAAGCCGAGGCGCTCCCTCAACTCCCGCGAGAGGTCGAGGAAGAGGAGGAGGAGGAGGAGGAGGAGGAGGAGGACAGGGCGCTACAAGCATAGCGCCTGAAGTCCGCCCAACGTAGAGAAAGAGGAGGAGGAGGAGGAGGAGGAGGAGGCCGCAGCTGCCGCCGTGCCCGCCGCCGCCCTGCCCCATCCCCTCCCTGCTTTTCCTTCTCGTCGCATCGTTGTGCGGTCTGTTCGTGCCGTGTCGCGGCGCGGCGGCGGCCCCCGTGCGGGCACTCGAGGTGGAACGCCACCAGAAACCAGAATCGGGGGAGGGAGAAGGAGGAGGAGGAGGAAGAGGAGGGGGAGGACCAGTGTGAACCCGGGAGTCATCGACGATGTTGGAAGTATCCCTCCCTCCAAGCTCCCTCTTCGTAGGCCCCTGCGACGGTTCATTTCCATTGAGGGAACTGCCCTGGCGGTCGGATAGCCGCCGATGTCAGGAGCCAGCTCCGGGCTTGTCGCGACGCGAACTTACCGCATGTTTCAGGAGCCACGATCTGGGGGAGTGGGCTCAGAGGGGGACGCATCCCCCCGCAATCGTCAATTCATCCCCGATTGGGACCCGATAGCCCACCCCGCCCAGGACCTTGCGGATTCGGTATCGGGGGCCCATCGCGCCGATCTATCGGCCATGTATCGCCGGATGTTTCCCCCCCTGAGCTGCCCCCCCCCTCCTCACCGTGGCCCCTCAATGTTGTAAGCGCATGGTCCCCTCTTCGGAAGCGACCGCCGCTGCGCTCGAGCGGTGCCGCCGCGGCAGAGGCCTCCTGCGCGCACGGGGACCGGAGCCGCGGTGGAGCGAGATCACCGTGCGATGGCGCTGCGCAGTGGCAGGAAGATGACGGCGAGGATTCCGACGTTTCTGAAAAGCTTCCCGGGCCTCCTGGGAAGCCGTGCGTAATCTGCGAAGGCTTAAGCTTACCATTTGGGTGTCTTCTAATTAATGCAGTGCGGTCCCTACCCAGAGAGGCCCAGGATAGACGCGTCAGAAAGCAGACAGTCAAAACGCGCTGCATTGTGACGCTCCGCGTCTCCAGTCGCAGCGCAAGCTTGGGTCATTGGTTGTCTGTTGTATCTCGGCCTCGCCTCCCTGCCGCGACAAAACAAGAGGCCACGACACGATCCTGTGTTTCGTCCTGGAGTTCAAAGTGTGATACCACCCACCGAACCACGGCCTCAGTTTGCCCTCCGTTTCTAGTGGGGGGGGTCGGGGAGCATCGAAAAAACACATAAAGAGCCCATACCCCCCCTCAACCCGAAATTCGGGTCTTCGGGTTGGGTTGGGGTGGTCTGGTAGGTAGAGTCACATACGGTCGCAGCAATCCTGGGCTGCCTTCAGCGAAGTGGCGGCGGCAGCGCCAGATGCGGAACCAGCCGCGGTCGTTCAAGGTTGACCGCAATCAGTGGCCCAGCCTCGGCCACGACTGCACGATCCAGCGATCGAAATGCCGCCGATCGTCCACGTTTGCGCGATGCGCGCGGCGTCAGACACCAACGCCGGGGTCGTCAGGACACGACCCTGACGCACCCAAAATCCATCCCCAGGGGGCCACACGCGAACCCTCCCCCTCAGAGATCGTGGGGGGTAGGGGCAGGGTTCGCGTGTAGCCCCCCTAAGCCCAAGTGATCCATCGGCCCCAAGGGAGGCCTCCCCCAAGCGAGCAGCGCGCTCCGGGCCTGGACCCCCAGGCGCAGGCGACCTCCGCGCGGCCTGCCCTCCCCCGCCCAGGACCCGTCTCGCTTCGATCGCTCCGCTTCGATGCCGAGTCCGGCCGGCTCCGATCCGATCCCGATTTCCCAGCGATGCGATGTGGCCCGGTGCTTGCATGGAGGCGTTGTGCATCCGCAGCCGATCGGAGTCGATTCCGACTCCGTGCCGATGCGGCCCGATCCGACGCACACTCTGATCCGATGCGACTTCTCGATTCGATGCTGGCCGATCCTGCCCCAAGGGCTCAAGTGATCCATCGGCCCCTGAGAGGCCTCCATTGGCCCCACGCGCCCTGCCCTCCCCATCCAGCTCCTGCTTCACCTCCTTCTCCGCCTCCTCCTCCTCCTCCTCCTTCTCATGCTCCTCCTCCTTCTCCTCCTCCTCCGCCTCCTCCTCCGCCTCCTCCTTCGCCTCCTCCTCCCCCTGCTTCTTCCTCCTCCCCGTCCTAGGCGGCTGCGGCTGTCGAAGCTGAAGTACTTCTTCCTGGCGGACCGCCGCTCCGCGCCGGAGCCCGACGACCCGCACCTGCTGCCCGACAGCGCGTGGGTCGCCCCGGAGACACCGCGCGGGTCCAGGGCGGGGGGCCCTGACTCCAGAACCGTCCCACTTTGGCTTTTTCCCAACTTACAATTGCGTCGGAAATCCACTTATAAGAAGCCGAAAAAGTGGGGCGGAAATTTCTGCACCCAACATAAAGTAGGGCGGAAATCAACAGAAGCAGGGCGGCAACAGCAACAGAGCAAGTAGAGCGGAAGTTGGCATCAGCGGGGCTTGAAAAGTAAGGCGGAAATTCCAAGCCCTACTTACGAATTTCCCCAAAGTAGGGCGGATCCGGAGTCAGGGGGGGGGGAGGCGGGCGATGTGTCGGTGCCGGGGCGTGCGCCCCGGACATGCTCGCCTCATGGCAGAGGCTCTCGGCCTTCTTCGGCCTCCAGATGCCTTCGCGGGGCCCCGCGGGAGCGTCAACCAAACGGTTCAGGATGAAGAGCCGGCCCTGGAGGCAAAGCATCTCTAGCTAAGAGTGTTGTTTTGCTCGAACTCGCTGAGCAAGCAAGGATACAGCCAAGGTAGCAGAGTCTTGGCCGAGCAGAAAACCATCGTCTCCAGAGCGTGTGTGCTGCCCATTCCGTGGGTCGGAGCCTCTGGAGATCCCGCAGTCGAGAAATCAGGCCATCGCATGTCTAGGTCAGCTTTTCGCTGCTCCGCGCGAGCTCTTTGCCTCTGCGGGTGCGCCCTGGAGAGGGCCGTGGGCTCCTGGGGAGGCGGGATGGGGTGGGGGCGCGGGGATTGCAGGGCGGAGTAGGAGGCGGAGGAGGCGGCGGAGACCCAGCGAGGCCAACCAAGAAGGGTAACCCCCCCAGAAGGAAAAGGCTCACCTTGCAAGATTCGAATGCGGAGGAGGAGGAGGAGGAGGAGGAGGAGGAGAAGGAGGAGGAGGATCAGATCGGAACGGGGGTTCGCGAAAGGGCTCCACCAGGAAGCCACAGCCGAGTGCGGGCAGTCACACTCGAGCAACCCGCACTTCGTGGGCAAAAGGACCAACATAGTCTGAAGTTCGCTCTCACGATTAAAACATGTACAGCGCCTTCAAAAGACCCAAAGATGAGAAGGAGGAGGAGGAGGAGGAGGAGGAGGAGGAGGAGGAGGAGGAGGAGGAGGATGGAGGCGGAGGAGAAGAGTGAGAGGAGGATGGAGGGAGGAGAGTGAGAAGGAAGAGGAGGAGGAGGAGGAAGGAGGAGGAGAGGAAGGTAGGAGGAGGAGGAGGAGGAGGGGAGGAGGGGAGTGGAGCGGGGAGGGGGGAGGACGGGGAGTGGGAGGAGGAGAGGTAGGAGGAGGAGGAGGAGAGGAGGAGGAGGAGGGGAGGAGGAGGAGGAGGAGGAGGAGAGAGGAAGGAGGAGCGGGAGGAGAGGAGGAGGGAGGACGGAGGGGAGGGCGGAGGGAGGAGGCAGGAGGGAGGAGGGAGGAGCAGTGAGGTGAGGAGGGAGGAGGGAGGATGGGAGGAGGGAGGAGGGAGGAGGGAGGAGGAGGGAGGGAGGAGCGAGGATGGAGGAGGAGGAAGGAGGAGGAGGAGGAGGAGGAGGGAGGCGGGAGAGGAGGAGGAGTTGGGGAGGAGGAGGACAAGGAGGAGGAGAAGGGGGAGGAGGAGGAGGAGCAGTGCGTTGGAGCGCATCGCGCTCTTCGCGGCGGCAATCATCGACCTGCTGGCGCTCACGGCTGCGCACCCAGCGTGGGCGAGGCCAAAGTAGCACGGGGCCGGCTGGCGGCAGGTCGCGGCAGTTGTTGAAATCGGTTGGCGGCTTCGTCTTGGGTGTGTTCAGCAGGCCCAGTCCGATGTCCTGATGTGTTCAATGCGGGGTCCCGGGAGCCGTTGTTGCACCGTCCTGCGGCCTTGCGAGGGCCCCCGGGGGTCGAAGACGGCCAAAAACCTCCCGTCGCATTGTGTCACGACGCGAGCATGTTTGGGGAAGGAGGAGCGGGAGCAGGAGGTGCCCCACCCCCGAGCGCGCGTGGGCAGCTGGCCGCACACCTGCCAGGATCCGCCGTGCGACGACCAGAAGGTCGAGGTGTTCGAGCTGCCAGACGAGCAGTGGGTGTCGCCGGTGGCAAGCCAGGACGCGGCGTGGGGGGAGGGGACACGTCAGGGGATGATAGGCCCGGGGGGAGACGCACTCATCGCTGATAGGGACCCAGTTGCCCACCCCGCGCTCGGGAGCGCGCGGCTTCGCTCTCGGGTGCCTCTCGCGGATCTATCGGCGACGTATTGCTGATTCAAGCTCGACGTTCACCTTGCTGAGCCAGTCCCCTCCAATGTTCCCCCTCATCGGGGGGGGGGGGCGGGGATACCGACGAAGAGCCTGGAACCCGAGGGGGCTGGGAGTGCGTTGCGCTTCGCCTGGGCCCGCGGGCCCATCCAGTGCCACGTCCCTCTTCGGGCGAACTGTCATACAGTATACAGTCCTCTCGGTTCCCGCCCCCCCCTGCACTCATCAAGAACAAACCCTCGGTTCGGACAGAAGGGGGAGGATTGGGACACGGGGGGGTACGAAGTGCTGTGTGCCGCTGGTTTCGGCCCCGCCGCCGGGCGCCCTCATATCTATATCTATATACATATATAAATAACTGAATAAATAAATAAATAAACAAATATGGATTGGCCCCCCGCAGTTGCGGATAAGAGTGAGGGGGCGGCGAGGACGTCGTCAGTCTGCGAGGCTCTGAGGAAGCCCGCCGCAGGCGCCTAACTTTTACAAGTTATGCAGTGAGCCCGCCGCAGGCGCCGATTTCTTCGTTAAAACAATGTGGGTGGATCGCGGGGTGGGTCGCGGGTGGGTCGCGGGTATGTCGCGGGTGGGCCGCGGGCCGGGTCGCAGGTGGGTCGCGTATGGGTCGCGGGTGGGTCGCGGGTGGGTCGCGGGTTGGTCGCGGGTGGGTCGCGGGTGGGTCGCGGGGTGGGTCGCGGGGGGGGTCGCGGGGGGGGTCGCGGGGGGGGTCGCGGGGTGGGTCGCGGGGTGGGTTGCGGGGTGGGTCACGGGGTGGGTTCGCGGAGGTTGGGCCGGGGTGGGTCAACGGGGGGGCGTTGTTGGGGTCGCGGTGTCGTGGGTCGCGGGGTGGGTCGCGGGGGGGGTCGCGGCGGGGATGGGTCGTGGGAGGGTCGCGGGTGGGGTCGCGCGGGGTGGTCCGGGCGGGGTTTCGCGGGCGGGTCGGGGGGGGGCGGGTCGGGGGGGGGGACGACGACGACGACGACAGCAGCAACAAGCATAATCTTTCCCGCGGATCCCCATTTCAGCCACGCACCCGGGAACAGAGAATGAGCGGTCGGCCCCCTCACTCTGATATTTACAAGTTATATGTATGTATATATACGCATATTTATACACATTGTATATATAAATATAGAGAGAGAGAGACAGAGAGATGATATCTAAGTTTATTGTTACAGTGAAGCCATATAGACATAGAAAACAGATCCGGCCAAACTTCAGGTGGGGGCCGCTGGGTCTGGAGCGCGTCTGGAGGGCCCAACACGGCTCCAGACGGCTTCTAGGAGGCCCCAAGCCTTGCCAAGAGAGCTACAAGACGCCCACGATTGCCCCAAGACGGTCCCAGAGGCCCTCCATACGCCCCACGACCGCCCCAAGAGTCCTCCCGAGAGACCCCCAAGAGGCCAACATCGCCCAATCCCCCAATCCCCTTCGTAAACGTATACTGTTCAGCATCAGCGACTTCTCACCTTCGCGGCGTTCCACGCCGGCCCAGGAAGCCCCTACGACCGTCCACGACGGCCTAAACGATAGGCGTTCCGGGCGAAAGGGGGGGGGGGGATTGGGAAGGGGGGGTTACGAAATTGCTGCATGAGCTGTGTTGCGGCCCCACCGAGGGGCCGAGGGCCCCATCTTCGAGGATATATGGGCGCATCCCGGCGCCCTCGCCGGGAGGGCGCCGGAAACGCAGCTACGTGAGCTGATATCAAACCCCCCTTTACCTATGCTATCCCCCCCTTTTTCGCCCCCGACCCGATAAGATGCACCCGAGAGGCGCCCAAGAGACGGCCCAAGAGGGTCCCAAAATGGTCCCAAGAGGGGCCTACGACGAGTACTGCCTCTGCACCGCCGGGAGCGGGGGCCGAGACTAGACCCCAGGGAGGGGACTGTCGGCGGCGCGCCGAGGGGGGCAGGCGAGAGCGGGGCAGGCCTTCTCAGAAGGCGGCGGGGGCTTCTCAGAAGCCCCCTGGCCTTCTGAGAAGCCTCCCGCGTCTTCGGAGAAGGCCTGGGCCGCGTCTCGGAGAGCGCGGGGCCTTCGGGGAGGGCCCGCCCTCTTTCTGCCTCCCCCTGGGCACGCCGCCGATCTTCTGGGGCTGAGCCCAGTGGGAGTGATCGGCGGGACTGGAGGTGCTGGGGAGAGGCGCTGGAGGCAGACTACCAGAGGCCACCGGCCGCCCAGGAGGCTGATGGCATTGAGGCTTCTTCCAGCAAGAGGAGGGGAGAAGGAGGAGGAGGAGGAGGAGGAGGAGGAGGAGGAGGAGGAGGAGGAGGAGGAGGAGTAAGAGGAGTAAGAGGAGGAGGAAGAAGAAGAGGAGGAGGAGGAGGAGGAGGAGGAGGAGCCCGCGGCCCTCCCGAGGTCTGGGTCAGGGGCGCGTCGCCCGCAGCCTTGTGGAAGCTTTACCGTGTTCTGGCGAGACCATCCCTCACACGCTTCGTCCTGGTGGACACCCGCTGCAATGATGAGCGGGTTCAAGGGCGGAGGAGGGGGGGGAGGGGGAGGAGGATGAGGAATTCAGAGCAAAGTCACTGCGTCTCGGCCGACCGCTGGATCTACACGATGCCCAAGGCCTCATACCCTCCGTCCGCTTCCACCTAGTATCAGACCAGGTGCGTCCCTTGGCCACGCGGCATGAGGAAAAGGAATTCGCAGAATTCATCCTGGCGGGGTTTCTGAGGTCAAGCTCAAACTCTACCGCTCAGCTCAAGCTCGTCGGAATCGCATTCCAGATTCAGGAGGGAGGCCTTCTGCAGCTTGTTTTGATGTTGCTTCCCCGTCTGGCTGGGCCGCGGAGGGGACGATTTGGACCACTTGACAAGCACGGTCGTGCGGGGGAGCAGGAGAGGGAGAGGAAGGCAGGACCCCGCACGTGGGTGCTTTGGTGCAGGCGGAACCCCGCCTCACCGCCACACCCCCGCACCGCTACTGGCCAGTTTTCTCTCCGCAGGAGGACCAACTACCCAGCAGCGGCGGACGGTCCACCGTCCCCTCCCTGGGGCCCTGCTGCCCTCTCGTACGCTCTCGCCAGGCATCCGAGGTCTCGCGCATTGAGGGCGGCCTGCAGGGCCCTCGGTACCCCTTCTCTGCGGGGGTATTTTTGCCCTCCTCGAGGCGGCTTCTATTCTCTCGGCCCTTCCTGGACATGCCCTCACACTTGGCCGCCAAGTGGCGCCCATCCACCGTAGCATATTTAAAACAGGTGGTGCAAAAACTCATGAGGAACCGCTCCCACCTCTGGACAGTGTGGGAGGGGTGCACTTCCCGCCCCGCCGCCAACCCACCGCCTCCCGCCCCCACCGAACAGACCGGGAGGCCACGGCACTGGGTCTTGGCGGCCCCGATGAGGCGAGAAGCAGGCACCACAATATTGCACACGCTGCACCTCCATGCGCCTTCGCTCAGCTCGAAACAATGACTGGAGGCCTGCAGCGCGAGCTTCCTCCTCGACGGGGGCGCTCTCCGTTGGACCGAGGCCCGAACCCCACTCCACGGGCCGGCCTCTGACGCCAGGGCCAGTGCGCGCCTCGCGCGCGCTCGAACCATGGTGCCGATCGCATCCCATTGGTCAGTCTGAGGCTCGCCCCCGTCCACCGACACCGCCCACCCTCTCCCCGCCGCAGCCCCCGCCTCCTCATCAGCCAGGGCGCTGCCCTGAATTAGGCAGGCATCGATCGGTTCGCTAGGAGAGGTGGCTTCGTCCATGTGAGAGGGGATCCACTTAAGGTTCACCTCTGTCGACCGAGACCGGAAGGCCACCCGAATTCGAGATCACAAATCTTGGTTGGCTCCGTTTTTCTCGAACTGCCGACCCCGCCCCCAAGCTCCCATGAGGGGCTCGTGGTCAGTCACGAACAGAAACGCATGGGGACATGTTCTAACGCGATGGCGAACGCGAGCAGCTCAGAACGAGGGACCGTTGACTGCATGTTGCCCCCGGCGGGGGTCGTTCGATCACTCCCACGCCAACCTTTTTTTTTATTTTTTCTATTTTTTTTTTTTTTTGTTTTTTGTTTTTTTTTGTTTTCTTGATGTTTTTTCTTTTTTTTAGTTTCTTTTTTTCCTTTTGTTTCTTGTTTATGCTATTTTCTTTTTTTTTTTGTCTTTCTTTTTCCAGCTCCTTTGGCCGTCAGGCTGCATGGCGATCACCGCGGCGCCACACCGACGCCTACGTGGGTCTGCACTGTGGGCCCCCCCCCGATCCGCCCCCGAAAACCACCGCACACCCGAACGTAGTGTGCGGCTCAACCTCGGAAATCGGGAGCGGCCCCAAGGGCCGGCGATTTTCTTAAGGGAAAAAAGAGAGATGGGTGTAGTTCTTAGGCGGCACGCCTCTCAGCACAGCACTGGACATTTTTCCCATTGCTCCTGAGCCTGCGGCATATTACACTCGCTCGTCTCGAACTCTTCAACACCGGCATTGCACGGGCATTCCCGAACTCGGTGGAAGAGTCTCTGTGCCCTGGTGGCACCTTGGGCACAACGTGTCAACCTCGTATCCTAGAGCCGCCTGCCTCTCTCGAGTGAACTGTCTGCCCGAGACTGCAGCATTCTGGAGCCCTACAGTGCGCTTCCATAGCGAGAAACTTGCGAATTTCGCGACCAGCCAAGAGCACATCCCCGCCCCAAAGCTCCAGCCCCTCACCCCCATAATGAGAAGCAGCCTGGGTCCAAAACAGGGACTACAAGTCCTGGGCCAGGTCACTGGGCAGCTCGGTGAAATCGGCGCCCCCTTCTCGAACCCCTCATCGCTCGCACAGGGCAGCCTCCAAACCTCGCTCCCACTCGCGGTCGGGCGGCGCCAAGAGTCTGGGGCAAACGGGGGCCATCTTGCTTCGTGTAGCGACGCGATCACC